CTTTTAAGTACTAATCACACCCCCTAACTAGCTTATTACTAGTCCCTAGTAATCAAAGCGTTAAAATAGAAAAATACTTTGCAAATTCCATAAAGCAAGGTAGTCATTATTCAACTTTTGTTAATCTATCCAGATAAACAAACTCTCATTAAATTTATATATCTGCTCAATACCTCTTAACAAGATATTAATAAACCTTTCTTTTGTGCTCAATATATCAACACATAATTATGGGGCTTTTCTTGGAAGAAAACAAAATTTTTATTCTAATGTTTAAGGTTAACTTCCTTGGGTTGAGATTATTTTTTTTATTTTTTTAATATATATACATATAACTTAAAACACCATGCATCTTTAACCCATGTAATGAGCTTTCGGCTAATGACTCCCAAACCAGTTGGTCTTAGGGCATTAGGTGTTGAGACACCCCCTACGAGCTTAGTAACTCGGGTCGCAGATACTGATATGTAGATAGTGCAATGTTTGATTCCCTTAAGCTTTTCTCCTCAACCCATGTAACAAACATTAGGCCAATAGCTCCAAAGTTAGTTGACTTTAGGGTATTAGATGTTAAAACACCCCTTCGGGCTTAATTGCTTAGGTTAGGGAGACTACGAAACCAAACTTATCTACATTTTTATTATCATCATTCTTTTTTGTTTTTTGTTTTGTTTTGTGTTTTTCTTTTTCTTTTTAATTATATACTATCCTTTTTCCCTTAGTTGTTACCTTTAACAAAAGAATATAAATAATGTAATAAACCATTATGCAACCTACAATCATATGTTAAAGTGTGTTTGTGTAAATTAAAGTTTAAGAATATATGTTAAATGAGTATATAAGCAGAATTAAGTGATAGTAATGTGAGAGTTTATAAACCTGAATATTTCAAGAAGTATTATGATAAACTTTATTAAGAATGATTACTAAGATGCGTCTCAAGATTCATAAAAAGATCTCCTTTACTCTACCATCATAGTAACAACAATTTTACACATACTTTATGAAATAGAAAACATATTTATTATTTTTTTCTTTTTTTTTAGCTACTACCCTCTTCCCCCAACCAAAACAAGACATTGTCCTCAATGTTCTAAGGTAGAAAGATAGAGTATAAAAGATATCACCTGAAATAATGAACACTGACAAACCTGAAACACATTGAAACAAATATAAGAAACAACAAAACATAATAATAAAACCAAAAGACACAAAGATTCACAAATGAAGACTCAAATCTAATTTAAGCTTTTTAGGGCTTTCCTTAGATGACCAATTTATGCGACTCATGAAGGGATCAATCACAGGAATGAAAGATTGTAGTTGGTCAATCAATTGTTCAGCAGTAGCAGCAGAGATTATGATTTGTCATGCAGAAGATGTTAGAAATTCCTGTTCCACAACATGATCAAGAAAAGACAACAACTTATCATAATAACCACTAACATTTAATAAACCTATGAGTTTATGATGAATGTGCAGTCGTGCCCAAGAGAAAATATGAAAGATCTCTTCCAATGTGCCTAGACCACTTGGTAAAGCAATGAAGACATCAACATGGTTAAACATTGTATTCATTCAAGCCGACATTGTGGAGACCTGAAGTTCCTCTCCAATTGTTTTTCTAATGATGTCCCTTTGTGCTAAAGCTTCAGGGACGACCCCTAAAACTTTACTACCTCATAAGAATGCAGCTATTGACACACCTCCCATTAACCCAAGACTGCCTCCTCCATACACTAAATGAATCTTTCTCTCAGCTAGCACCTGACCAAGATGATTTGTTGATTCTAAAAACTCCTTTTCTTTTCCAAGACTAGATCCACCGAAAACACAAATACTTTTTATTTGATGACTTGAGGAACTTGCCATTTCTACACACTTCTATATTTGATGAATATATGGGTTGAGTGGAAATGAAGGGAAGGAAGAAAGGATTTTATAGATGAGAAATTAAAAAGGCAATCAAACCACTTATATGTAGGCCAGCTAGAATCTCACTCACTCTCTCTCTCTTTCTCTATGTATTTATTTGAAAAAGCATGTATATGTACAGGTAGTTGTGATTGTGGCTGACATCTTCCCTTGGTTTTACATCCAAGAATGACTTAAACGCCCTCTATGGGTTGGGGATAGGCTTCCCATCCAGTTTTCTTAAAAAGTGGCAAACAAGGTCTTTTTTAATTAGATTCCCAAGACTAAGTCGATCATGTTCTTTATAAAAATGGGGCCATAAATCATGAACTGCATGATGCACATCTCCACTAGGATGCGTCTTAAGAGTTAATAGAAGATTATCTAAAGACTCCTTACTCAGGCCATCCTTAATGAGTTGTATTTTATCTTCATGGTTTATAGATACCATTCCTAAAGAATGGCATTGTGCATTACAAGCCCATCTAGCACATTGATGACAGACTTTCAGTTGTTTTGTATGACGTTTCTTTATAAAAGTGTTTTTACCTGTTCCAGACATGTGTGAAATGAAGGAATTAGAGGACGCACCTGATAACCAGACCTTTGCTTCAATTAACCAACAAATATCTTCAGGAATTTCATGATTCATTAACAACCTCAATCTTGCACATCTAGCATGGTAAATTTTTGTAATCGGATTCTGAGGCAGAGCGGGAAAATATTTTTTCAATTTTTCAAGATTAATGTCCATTTTCAAATGAGAATTGGAAGAGAGATTCAAAGAATTGCACAAATATATACACAGATATCAATTATTATGGGAAACTGAAAGAACCGACTTAAGTCACGGAGTATCGTTGTCCGCTATTTGACCGGGGTGAGAGAAACTAGCAAAAATCACTAAAAAAAAACACAAAAATAATGTGAGAAAAAAAATCAACCTTTATCTACAAGATCATTCAAACCAGTTGATTCATTTACATTAGAAAAATTATCAAAGTAAGCTTTCAAATGATGTCCATTTTCCTTAAAAATATTATCATTCATTGAATTCTCAATATCAAAGGCCCCATAAGAATTGCTCCATCTTGATCTTAGCTCTTTAGGGAATGCATAGAGTTAAGAATTATAAAATAAAACTTTTTGACCAGTATTAACTTTTTGACAATTTTCACAAGTTTTGCAGAATGCATGCGTGTCCTTTGATTAGTACTTAAAAGTGCATTTTTATCATGGTTTTATATCATCATTTTGCACTTGAAGTATCAATAACTCCTTAACTAAAATATATTTTATAATAATGTATCTAATAATATAAGATACCTATAATTTATGGTAAATGTCTATTTTTAATGCAGGCCTATCACATAAATAAAAGGATTGATTGATGACTTGAAGAACTTAAATTGCAAGGATAAAGAGATGGCCAAACTTAGAAAAGAGATGTCGGTGCAATCCAAACCGGAACACTGTTCGGTAAATGGGTCATATCTGGAGCTATATATCTCAGATTTAGGTCCAATTTATATGGATGGAAAGGTAAGACATAGGCCTACAACTTTCATATGGAGCCCAAGATCTAAAAAGGCCATTATCAAGTCCAAATTGTAGCAACAACAAAGAAGCCCGAATCTGTCTTCCAGCCCGAGCACTGTTCGGTATTTTGGCCATATCTGGAGTTCTAAAAATCCAAATGAGCTGAATTTTTTACACAAAAAATCTGAGACAATTACCTACAACTTTCATGTTTTCAACGGGCTCCAATTTTGACGTTATCAATGACGTTTTGGGCAGACAAGAAAAGATAAGGATTGTCACCAAGTCAAAAGTTGGCCACCCACTTATCAATTAGTCATCAAATCAATAGTTTCCAATTTTGGCCTATAAAAGGAGGCATTTGCCATGCATTTAGGCATCTTGGTTTCCAGATCAAGATCATGCTCTTCCTTTCTCTCTTTGTATTTTTTGTATTGCTTATGCTTTGCTTTCATTAATATCAAGTTTATGCCTTTCATTTCCTTTCATTTTCTTAGTTAACTTTTATCTTATTGATGTTTTTATTTTGTTTATTTATTTTTCTATCTTTCATTATGTCTAGCTAAGTTAGTTATGTCAAGGTGAAAAGGTTACACTAATGGTGTAAGAATAAGTATAATGTAAACTTAATATGGACTTTAATGTTTGATACTAACATGTTTTATATTTGTTATCTTGTTCACTCTTTAATACTTTGCTTGTTAAATGATTAATCTTGATTTATGTTGTATAACACTTGGTATAACAAATGCTTGGCACTTTCATAGTTCATACTGTATGGTATAACCGACACCTGAGCTATGAAAGGAACTTGATTTGTTGTTAACATAAGTTATAATCATGAATGCTTGACGAGATTTACAAGTATTAGCATTAATTGAATAAGATGACTAATGTAATCATGTTAACAATATATAATCTGATTGGAACCTCCTTTGTGTGTGGTTTCCAATTCAATAATAAGAGTTTATACTATACTTGTTTGATATACCATTAGTGGAACCTCTAACCTTGACATTTGTTATTATCATTGTTTAATCGTTACATTAATATTCCATCTCAAAGTTCTCATCTTCTTCTTCTTCTTCTCCTTCTTTTTCTTTATTATTATTCATCTTCTTCTTCTTCTCTTTCTTTATTATTATTATTATTACTACTACTACTACTATTACTACTACTATTATTATTATTATTATTATTGTTGTTGTTGTTGTTATTGTTGTTGTTATTGTTGTTGTTATTGTTGTTGTTTATAATTTGTACAAATAACCTCCCTGTGGTTCGACCCCGGTCTTGCCGAGTTATTTATTACTTCGACACTCCTGCACTTGGGAGAAGACATCAACCTTTTAGTCGTGTCATTTATACTATACTTGTTTGACATACCATTAGTGGATCTTCTAACCTTGACATTTGTTATAATCATTGTTTAATCCTTACATTAATATTCCATCTTAAAGTTCTTATCTTTTTCTTCTTTTTCTCCTTTTTTTTCTTTATTATTATTATTATTGTTGTTGTTGTTGTTGTTGTTGTTGTTGTTGTTGTTGTTGTATTATTGTTATCTGTAATTTATATAATTAACTTCCCTCTTGTTCGATCCCGGTCTTGCTGGGTTATTTATTGCTGGAGAAGACATCAATCTTTTAGTCTTGTCAGCAAGACACCTTTTAAAAGCTTTTAAATCACATCAAATCATGAAGCAGCTTACCTCAAGTAGAGTGCGCTAGGGATGCTAATACCTTTCCTAACCATAACCAGTCCCTTACCCGTAAATCTTTAACAAGATCAGTACACCTGGGTTTCTTAATAACCCTGAACCAAATACTAAGTGGCAACTACTAAAGAACATGCAAATGAGCAAAAATCGCCAGCTGACGCAGTGCAGGTGACGTGCAATAACATTAATGTTAAATTAAACGATAAGCACATAAAACTCAACAGACAACAAAAATTAATCATAAAAGACTTTATTACTTATGTGATGTTTAATATGTTTTGCGTGTTGCTCGTACTTTATGTATCTAAGTGAAGGAACATCCTCGGGATCTAAAGTAATGATACGTCATGTTATACTCATGTATCAAATCATATACTCCTTTTTAGCAATCACATGATGCATCTTTGTAAATATCTCATTTATTTGTGTATCCCACTATGATACATAATCATTATGCTGACCTAACCAATCATAATTATAACTTTTACCCCTACAAGTAATAGTATACAAGGCATCACTTGTATTAATATCGACAAAAATGTGTTATCTATAGTTTATTTTTTGCATTCCTCAACTCGTATAAAGCATCACTTTAAGAATGGTTGGGGTAGCGACGATAGTGGTGGTGGTGCCAGTAAAAGGTATAATGGATTTTCAACAGAAAACATTAAATGATACTTAAAGACTAGGAAGAGTTTAATCTTTAGTTATTTTAAGGGAAAATCTAAGTGATTAACAAGTTTTTAAGAGAGATTTAGGGGAGACTGTGGGTTTTTTTTTAAAGAGGGGGAACGTCTGTGTGCTATTGGTGTTCAATTGATTTAAATTTTAATTGATGTAATGCTTGTGAAACACATCTTAAGTTATTGTGCTTCAAAAACATGTCATTTAATTAATGTCACACTTCAGAAGTGCGACAAGGTTAAATTATCTCATTTTATCAAATATTTTTTAAAAGATATTATTTTTCTAAATTTTTAAGTTTATTATGCTAATTTGACCAAAAAAACAAAATAAAAGTTGCTTCTTGTAATCCGATGTGATATATCCTTAGTGACTATATGAAAGATGGATTGTTTTACTATTAATAGCCATATGAAGGGCAAAGATGTAGTACAAGACGATTTTGATATTGTGTTAGCAATTGCTTTTCAAAATGCTTTTTAATTGAAAATACACAAAAATAATATTTTTTATTTCTTAAAATTTATTTTTAACATCAGCACATTAAAACTATCTGAAAACACACAAAAAAGTTAATTTGAGCAAAGAAAACAATTAAAAAAGTTATTTTTTTAAAATCACTTTTGAAACGTAAAAACAAACGAGCTCTAAATATTAGGATCGCACTTCATAATCACGATAATTTGGCTAATTGATATAGTAGCGAAATTTTTGTTGAAATAACACACTTTAACCATATTATGCTTCAAAAACACGATATTTACTAAATATTGTTATTTCTAAGTACGACATAATAGTTGTCGCACTTCAAAATAACAACATTTAAGTAAATGTTGCACTTTTAAAGCGCGAAGTGGTCAAACTATATTATTTTTTCTCAACCGGTGTGTAATATTTAGTTAAAGCGGTTGACTGGTTTAAAAAATAACGAAAACAAATCTCAAAGCTGTTAAAATCGAGGGTCTTGATGTGATTTTTTATATCTAAAGATCTGACGTTCCACATAGCGACGCTGCTAAAACGGTCTTCGAAGACTCTTATAAAAATTCAAGTACAATTCAACAATCGGATAAAAAATTATGACCATTTTAAGTTATTATTATGGGCTAACATGATCAAATCTCTTCTTAGATCTAGACATGTTCTATTAATCCATAAATGTATTTGTTAAGTCATCCATCTAATTTGTTTAAAGCATATCTTTATTTAATTATAGCAGACGCAACTGTTTACAATCACTCATTACCAAGTTAACAATAACTTTTTAAGATTTTAATTGGAGTTTATTTTTTAATCTATAAGTTAGATAAAAATATATATTTTAACTCATAAAATATATTTAAAAAAAACTTCATAAAATTATAATTTATATACAAAACAATAAAATGATTAATATAAATAGATTCAACTTCAACCGATGAACCAGCCCATACAAAAAATTGTAATTCAACCATATCACCCCTCAACATGAAAATAATATTGTTAAACTATATTATTTTATTAAAAAAAAATATCGTATTATTCTATCAAATTTGTTTTTGTTTACCATCCTAATTCCTCGTACTTCCAAAAAAAACCGTTAAAAATCCTATCAAATTTGCCATCATAAAGACTATTGAAAGCTCCGTTGTTTCACTCTAGGCGGCGCAGCAGTAGTAAACTGCAGGTAAATAATATTTGTTTACTGCGGTTCTTTAAAGTGTATTATTTTTTCAAATATTTATTTTTACTGTACTATTTTATCAATTATTTCTTCTTATTTTTTTACTGTGTTGCAAACCCAGAACACTCCATAAATAGAAGAAAGAATATCTTGAGAGAAAGGGTGGTGGGATTCCAATTGGAGATCAGTAATATTCATAGACAGCAAAAGTTGGTAAGATTACAAAACAAGTTTTTTTTTTTTTTGTACTTTTTCTAGAAGCCCACTTTAATTTTCAAGCTAATATCGGTCCACCATGACATTAAATAGAAGAAATAATATTTTGAGAGCAAGGCTGGTCAGATTCCAATTGGAGATCAGTAATATTCATAGACAGCAGGAATGTGACTAAAATTAAAGGTTATAAACCCTGATATAATATTGTAAATTATATATTAGTCCCTCTTATTTGAAAAACAAATTAAATATTTTTATAATTAAACATGGTCAAGTAACTAATTATTTTTTCTTAAATCTAGAGAGACTATTTAATTCTTTTTACAAAACTAAAAACTAATTTATAATTTATCAAACCTTCTCTCAAGCAATAGCTAATTTATAGGAAATATTATACTATGTTCAATTCTTTTCCTAATCTCTTTTGATTAGGACGATACTGTCATTTTAATGACCAATTTGCTTTTTATAATTATAGTACACTTTGGACCCACTTTGTTATCTTCTTTGTCTCTTGTTTTTTCTTTGTATTTTTGTTATTAACATTAACCAAAAACAAATTAAAAAGTGTAGAAAATTATTATTAATCTGCATCCATTGCACTGTGTATTAGAATAATAATTCATAATGTTATTTTACTTTATTATTTAAAAAAAATGTGTTTGTTGTTGATTTTTTAGATGTTAAAAATTTCACTTTATAATTTTTATAATTTTTCTTACTAATTTCAAAGAAAACCCATGTTATTAAACTTTATAAAATCCATCAACTTGATCATAAATGTGGCTAGTTAACTAGTTTGGAGGTTTGATAAGTTTAATTTTTTAATTTTTTTATTTTATCCTTAGTTAGTGGGTTAATTTAGAATTCAATTTTGTAATTGGTTTCATTTCTTTTTCTATAAGGTTATTGTGATTTAAAAAAAATCTCTGTATTGGATTGATATTTTAATTTTATAATTGTCTATTTTTTGTATCTTATTGTTAAATTTTATATAGTTTTGGAGAAAAAAAACAAATTATAATCCCAGTAAAATCTATAATCTGGTTCACAAGTTTGGCGTGCTAGCCTGGGGTGCCTAACTCACAAGGTTGACAAGATTATCTGACTCGCATGTTTAACGAGTTTACCTACCAATTAGATTTTTTTTGGTCTTATTATTGTTTTTTATTTACTATTTTTTTTTATTTTGTCTTTTAATATTGGATTGGTTGAGAAATAGAATGCATGATTTATTATTTTTTTTATAAGATTATCATTGTCTTAAATAAATATCTTTTTTAGGTTGATGCTCAATTTTATGAGCATTTATTTTTATTATATAATTGAATAAAAAGTTATTAAACTCAATATATTCCATGGCATAGGTCGCAAGGGACCATGGTTGATCCAATCTTTCATTGTCTTAATATCTTTTATCCATGTTATTATTGATATCATAATCCCTAGGTTTAATTTTAACCATTTTATTTTTTGAATCAAGATTTTTAATATTTATAAATCTCAAAAAAATTTAATTAGGGTTTACAATAACACAAAATATTAATTATACAAATAGGTCACCCTTTTATTCTGCTATAATTTTGGCTAAAATAGACTATCAAAGTATGGATGCATGCTCTGTTTTTCTCATTGGTTGAGCCTTGGTTAATAACTTTTATATTAGGTGTATCTTTATAATCATCACCTAGATTCATAAAACAATCACCAATACGATTAATTGATGAAGTAATAGGGTTCTTGTTGGAATTGAACTTGTTTATTCTTGAATAAAAAGAAACATACTTCTCAAAAGCAATACTTGCATATAGAGACAAGTATGCGATCATGCATTGCTCCCCACATAAGTATATTAGCATGAATCCATTAGCAAAGCAAATCCAATATATTTGGAAAACACAACTTCTCCATAGCAATTAATAAAAGATGACTTATTTTCTTATAGAATTTTTAAAATGATGACCTCTCTTCCATTGTATCTTACTATATTTTTTGCTTAACCATTAATTTAATAAGGGTTTAAGTTCTAAAACAGTATCTACAAGTAGAACGCATGAAATTATAGGTTACATAAAAGGTAACTTATTCCAAATACAAATGCATGGGTCAGCATAGTATTGCATGTGTTGTATAGACCAGTTATAATAATTAAAGATCAGTGAAAACTATTTAAAAAAAAAATCACATCTTTAACCCTAACAACTTATAAAAATGGAATTTATATATAGAAAAAAAAAACCTCTTACTTGGCATTGGAGCCTAACAATATAATCAAGGTTAAACATTATCCTATTTTTAGAGACTACGATATCTTTATAGATAATATACATCATTTCTTTGAAATTTAATTGCTAATGCTAACCATAGAGTAGCAAACATTGTTGCAAGTCATAAACTCATTTTACAGTCCTTGTTCTCACTTTGAAAAAGGCATATGAATTCACCAAGATCTTGACCAAAAGACTACTTCCATCTTTATAAAGGGTCATGTCAATTATTATACCCATGTCAAAATTAATAAAATTGATCTAACAAGGGAAATATCTTTACGTTCATTTTTTTTATTTGTTTTTAATTATCAATTTTGTTGTTATAACAAAATCACACTTGATAATAAAATCATAATCATAATATTTTTTTTCATTAAAACCATATTAATCAAGTTTGCCTCCAGGGGCAGAGACAGGGGGTAGGCAAGGGCCTCGACCCCTGCATGGAAATTGTTTTTCCAACCCCTCCCTTAATAATCTATATGGTTTTAGATAAAATATTAAAACAACTGAAATCTTAGCTCCCTTTAATTTAATTTTTTGGCTTCACCCCTGTTTGCTTCATTACAAAAAGACAACACTAGATTTATTGTTGTAACCCTAAAAGAAAATTTTGGGTTGCATAATAAGAATTTAAAAGTACAATAGCAATATAAATATAATTTGGCCCAACAAAATCACCCCTAAATTAGGTAAAAACCCTAAATAATCATATTGGATTAAATAATATCAAACTCTAAGCTCATTAATTGAAAAAAAAAAAAAGAAATCAAACTTGAGATAAGTAAAGGGTAAGTACACTCAATGCTAGATTTATAAGTGTAGGAGGGCTACCACTATGTTTTGTTAAATGAAAAGGAATAATACATGCGAAGAGGAGAGGAATTGTTGGGTTTTAGTTCATTTTTAAACTACTAATGAAATTTTCATCGATAATTTAAAATGGTAACAATACTAACATAATTGTCAAAGGAATTTTTTAATTTTTTATTCCATTATAATTTTCATTGGTGAAAAACAATGGAAAATGTCTTGTCAGTGTTTATAGCTTTTTCCTAAGTTTCTACTATAATGGCTTATTCTAGATTATTCAAATGATCATATAAATCATGCATGATTTTATTGACCACCATAATATTATTATGTTAAGTCATGTTTTTTGCATTCTCCATTTATGTTTAGATAGGGCTCATATTAACATTAGAAAAATTTAATGATCGAAAAAAAAATACCTTTTATGAGTAATCAATGCTAGCTAGCTAGTTCCCTGTATAACTAGTTATTGCCTTATAATATATCCATCTAGCTCATGGAAAGGATGGAAAGGATACATACAGGGTTGCAATATTTGTAATTGAGTGTAACATTGTCATTAAAAATGATAAGAACTTAAGGCATTTCATACAAACATTAAGATTTTGTTTTGATATAGTTTTATGGAGACAAGTTATAAAAAGTCATCTCATGGCGCGTGGTGCATCTAATACTGGTTGTTTTATAAAAACCTATAGCGATAAACAAATATATCAACTTCTACTTAGTCGAGAAACTAGCCTCTATCTATTACCTACACCAAATGTTGTACTAATTAGTTTACCTATATTCTTTTTTAAATGGTATAATTGCTAGTTAATGGAATATAATCTTATCCTATGGGGCATTTTAATCTTTTAATCTGATAATAATTACGTGATCAATCATCCACTAATTAATTGGCTAACCATTAATGTTTCCAATCAATTAAGGTTCTTAATCTTTATTTCTTCTTTCTAATAAGGAGAAACTACGAGTAAAAATTAAATCTTGAGTAAAGACACTTAATAGCCTTACAAAATTAAACAAGGTGAATGTGTTTTAAGAATTCAAATCTTAAAAAGATATGTTCAATTTTGATTAGGAAGCATCAACCAAATATGTTCATATCTAACTGGATATGTCTAGTTTTGATTTTAAAATATGCCTTTTAAAATGTTTATTTCTTTACAATATAGTCCTTAAATTGTTAATTTTTTCCATTTCAAGTATTTTAATATATATGTTAAGATATAATCCTTAAATTCATCAATTCAACATGCATTAGTTAATCACACCTTCTGTATTATATGATTGCAATCCAACACACACATCACCAACAAGTGTGATGAATCAATAGTTATTCGTAATTTTTTTTTTAAATGAGTCCATATATAAATTTTTTGATAAGTTAAAAAAAATATTTTTATAATATCCAAAATTAAAATTAATATTGTATTGAGATTATGAGATTATATACAGAAAATATATGAATTATTAACTAATGAATGATACATTAGGGACATGATTTAGTATTTATTGATATCAAAAAACAATTTTAACTTTAAGTAAGATTTTAAAATATAATTTATATTATTCTTTCATGCACTTCTTTAAATAGAAGTCCCTTGAGCTCAAAATTAATGAGAGTGGTCAAATTCTAACTTGTAATCACTTAATCAACAAAAATTTAGTATCATAAAACAATTTGTTAATAAACTCAAAGAGAGAATAAAAAGATTAAAAATAAGAGCTTAAAGAGAAAATATACTTAATGTAAAAAGAAACAAAAAAGCTAAGTTCATTAAAAAAAACCTAAAAAGCCAAGTTCAGAAACCTAATTAAGCTCTTTTAAGGATTGCCAAGAGATTATAAGTGTCTTAACTTTGGTGTGTTAATTCAATATTAGGTTCTAACTTGGCCACTCACATGAAGCATGGAGCTAGAGGAGCAGAAATGTGATAACAGGAGAGTTAGGCTCTAATAATATGTTAAAGAAAAAATTAAATTTAATAGCTTAAGTTATTACATAAAATTTTAATATATAATTTATATTATTAACTCATTCCTCAATTCCAATAAATATTATAAACAAATTTTTAAAACTTGATTTTATAAATGATTATGGATAAATTTAATATACTCCCTAGCAATCTTATAATTCACATAAAAGTTATTCATAAAATATAACCAATTACATTAATTTATAAATAGTCTGTTTAAAAATGTAGTTGTAATTACTTTTTAAAGTGTTTTTCACTCATAAAAATATAAAAATATTTTTTTTATTTTTTAAAAATTATTTTTGATATCAGCACATCAAAATTATCTAAATACATAAAGCAAAGAAAAAAATTAATTTTTTTAAAAATCATTTTACTTTTAAAATGCAAAAACAAAATATATTAACTTTAACCAGATTTCATATATTAAAAGAAATGGACTTTGACCCTCTATGTACCCAACAACTTTTATCTAGCTATTCATGACAACACATGCCAAGGCATATAATTTAGCTATTCATGACAAAAGGCAAATAATTAAAGATAAAGGGGATATTATATTGTTAAAAAACTATCTTAACTTAATAATTTATATTTTAGGATAAGTCTTAAGAATAATTTTATTACTCTCTAGCACATTCTTTTAAATTAAAATCTTTCAAGTTTGAAACTTATAAAAATTCACACAATCTTATACTTAATTTTATGATTAAAGTGAGATAGTGAAAATCAAACTCGTGACTATTTGATCATTAAAAATCTGATATCATATTAAAAAAATCATTTCAACCCAACAACTTAAATTTTTAGATAAAATTCTAAAAATAACTTTATAATTTTATATTACTTTGTGTTAGTAAATAATATAAAACATATTATAAGACCTCACTTGACAGTTTAATTTATTAAATTAAATTATTCCTTTATATAGTATCAAAATTTTATTGATCAAGCAATCACGAGTTCGAATCTTATTATTCCTATTTATTTAATAAAAATTAAACATAAGATAATATGAACCTTTGCAAATTCTAAACCCAAAGAGTTTTCATTTAAAGAGATATATTAAAAAATAATATAAATCAAATCTGAACCCTAATTAAAAACTTAAACTATTGGGTCAAGATAGTTGAGATTTTATAACAAGCCTAATGCATATACTGTTCGAAGACATGTTGTCATGAATTTTGCATTAACAATCGGTTCCTGCAAATTCACTGTTTGACTATATCAACGTGCATTGTCTGCAGATTTCTGCATGCCGTCCTTTAATCCACGTATTTCCTGAACTGCAGATCTTTACATGACGTTGTAGTTCCAGCATTGTCTGCAGATTTCTGCATATCGAACTTAAACTTGGAGTAACCTGGCTCAACTACAGTGCAGATCATATATATATATATATATACACACTTCCATGACTTTTGCATCGTAACTCTTTTCCTGTCACCGTCAAAAAAGTATTTATCTTTTTTATAAGAAGACCCCTGGATGTAACATGAATCAAAAAATAGTTAATGTACATGTAGAATAAATATAGAATCAACAAGGATGGCGGGTAACGAAATAAAAAGGAAGCTTTATCTATTATTGTTCAATCACACATGCAGAGTATAGAATAGTGAGTCAGCAAGCTTCAAGCAATATTTCATTCTTGTTCTTATCCTTTTGGAAGAATTCAATTTGGCTTGAATATATAATTGTATTAAAAGATGTGTTGATGCTTGCAAGCATTTCGAAATTCCATATATAATATATATTTCTTTCTTTGATTCACTTCCAAGGGCGTGGGTTTGGTACATATAAAGGTGAAAAGAAAGAAATTGTTAAAAGATTTAAGGTGGAGAGTTAAAAGATTTTAAAGGGATTATTCTTCAAAACTTAAATAATTTATTGCTTCTACTTTACATAAAGCTTTCGACTGTATTACCTGCATCACCTTATATATATATTGTTGGTTTTAAAGTTTTTAAATTTTCTGGTTTTAATCACCTTATATACATATTGTTAGTTTTAAAGTTTTTAAATTTTCTGGTTTTAGAGTTGAAAATTAATTAATTATATCTCATTTTATCATTTTTTTAGAATTACGTTGTATTTAATATATAAATTTAACAAAGTACGTAATTCGCTAGATCAAATTAAATGGGAGATCATCCACTCATTAAAGAAGGAAAAATAACCTGTCAGCAGACACCTACCTCACCTGGCACTGATTAATGAGGATGATTTTTTCTTAATTTTACGGGATCCAAGATGTATAATATGTTTCCTAAATAGACTTCGAGTTTTACTCTTGGAGAAAAACTTACCCTGCATAGAAGGGAAGAGACGGTAGAGCTGAAATACACCCTACCATCCGAATTAGGGGTGGAACCATAAGTTTAGTATTGGAGGAGTGAATACGAAAATAATTTATTTTTGAGGATGCGAAACATGTAAAACTGGGGTATAATTAACAAAATTTAGAGTTTTAGTACTAAAATGTAACATTTTTTTAACTTTTGGTACTTAGTTTCCATTATATAAAAAATAAACCTAAATATTTAGAGGAGATAAATAAATAAAATAATATTAATTAAGTTGGAAACAAGAGGAAACATAGTGATCTAAAACATATATATGTGAAAAATTATAAAGCCATAAGAAGTCCAATTCTTTACTTTCTAATGACAATAAAGAATTGGACTTCTTATGGCTTTATAATTTTTCACATCGCATGAGTGTCTATATATATATATATATATAGTAATTAATTTTTGAAGTCATTTTATTACAAAATAATACTTAATTTCGTGTCAGTTTGAATAATTATTGTGTAAGAAACTTGTGAACCAATACATTCTCTGGTTTGAAGCTAAATTAATTTGACGTTCGGTTTGAGTTTGTAATAACCAAGTAGCTTGGGTACATTTTAATTAATGTCTATGAGGTGTTTGGGTAATGGGGGCATTAACACTTTGGTTTTCAGTTTTTTGAGAGACTATTTATTAATTTTTTCTGTTGTATATTTTACACACACCAACCATATAAAACCCTCATTAATTAACTATATCACTATTATTAACTTTAATTAAAGGATTTATTTATGCATACTTAACTTATAATTCTTCTAACATTTTCACCCTAAAATGATTCATGAAATTATGCTTTTTTCTATTTAAGGGAAAATGTTAATAACTAATTTAGGTTATATGTGCGTGTGTGTTTCAATTTTTATAGCGGCGAGGGACTCCACATGAGTGATATTTCATGCCTGAAATTAAACCTCTCTGAGATAATTGCAATGTAAATCAAAGTAATGCACGTATAAGCATGCATGATCTCATCTTAGAAAAATCAAAGTAATGCAAGTATAAGCATGCATGATCTCATCTTAGAAAGTAGATGATACGAATATGAGAGTTGGGAAAGTGGGCCAGCTGAGTCCCTTTAAAATACCTGGAAAGGAGCAGAAAACACCCAGTAAATACTTAGTGATTCTCACATTTTTATAACGGTGAAACTGTAGTTTTTTATTTATTCCTGGTTGGATCTTAATATTGTTTTCAAGCTAAATAACTTTGGTTGTTACAGCCTAAGTACTCGTCCACCTGTCCCTAATATTGTCCTTGTTCTCGATTTCTATTCAGCTTTATTTTGTTTTCACAAATTCCTATAGATATCATCCCTGGCCAATAAAATAGCTACATTTAACAAGGAAAAGATAGGTGAGGGCCTCTGGTTCCCGCTCTCGTTTGCCATATTGCTCTGACTGGGAAGCACTTCCTAGCACTCATTAAATGACAGCTTGTTTTACGAATTTTGTGCTCCATTTTATAACCATTTAAACTCCTTAAAAAAAAAAAAACAATAATCCACACATTAAGTACCTGTTTATTTGTCGACGTTTGATCTGTACTCTTCATCAACGGCCCAAACTGAGTGCAGAGTCAACATCCAGTCTCCATGCAAACCCTCCACAATCCATTCTCCAAACATCACAAGGAACAACCGTCTGTGAACCCTTCTCTTTCTGCCACGAATTCTGTAACCTAACCCAGCAGCTAAACGCAGAGGCACAGTCCACAAAAGGCAACAACTTTTCCTTTATCACCAACCAAACCATTACTTCTGGTACTGTATCATACAGCTGTACTCTCTCTTTACCATCTTCTTTCGTTACCATCTCCACCATCTTCTTGTAAGCCCAGTTTATCCATTGTACGTGGTTCAAACCGTCCGATATGAAGCCGGGACAGGTGTCCCCCTCCAGATTCCTCATTCTCTCCACGTCTGTACACCCTAATAATATAGCTCGACCATCCATGCATGTACTGTATATGTCTGTCACGCACTCTACCGTCACCCAGGATTCCGCTACTGTAGTTTCCCTCTTTTGAGGAAGCATCACGAACATCTGATCTGGCTTACCATAACCCTCAATCATGGGCTGCTTTAGCTTGAACTTAAAACACATGGGCTGTTCTTGCTTTTCTTGATCATTGACATATTCTTTAATATTATCTACGGCAAGATCTTGAGAATTATCATTACCGCACCATGTCTTTCCCATTCTTTCTGATTGCGACTCATCATCCTTCGATTCACTTCTCTCTGGTAATAACTGTAAAGTAACAACACTGCTGAAATCACCTCCTTCTCCTTCCCCTCCTCTTTCCTTTTCTTGATCTGACGATGGTACTTGCGGCCCCCTTTTGCTTTTCTTCAATTTATTACTCTTACAAACCCTAACATACTTTCTCTTTCTTCTAGTTGTCTTGAAAGCTACCAATTCTTTGTTGCCAATCGCTGAAGAGCTAGAATCTAGATCAGTACCGGCAGCCGGCTTCGGTGCAATCGGTCGGAATCTATGCATTATCCGGTTGATTATCGTTTTATCCTGAGCACCAGCACGACCACAAGCGTCAGCAGCAGCTCCTCTTGTCACATGCCAGCCATGACAACCATCCATTTCCTTTTCTCTCTCCCCCTCTCCCTATAAAAAAGACTCTCTCTCTCTCTCTCTCTCTATCTGGAGGTAGCTTAGTTCAGACGATAATCATAGGTTAGACGGTGAGAAGGTGTAAAAGCAACACGTGTTAGGGCAAGGAAGAAATATTTGGGAGATGTTTTTGGGCAGAAGTTCTGGGACAAGTGGGGTCCAGTGGGGGAGAAAAAAAAAAAGTAACGTAATTGAGAGCGTTGAGGATGGTCCCATAGTAAGGAACCAATTAGAGAAGGGAATGTGTAGAGCATTGCCGAAAGGATGGGGACACGTCACACGTAGCCTAGGCTGTGGAAGTAGAGTCACTGTTAACTGGAGTGGAAATGCCACAAAAAGCTGGTTCTGTTAGGTTCGAGAATGGGCACACGTGGTTTTCTTCTATTAGCATTTCACTTAAAAAACTCGTTCAGAATTTAATTCCTTTACGCGCTCTCCCCCCACCATATTATCAACCCCACTAGGTACTAAAGTAGCCGGTGTCTACGAGGCTTTTATTAAAATAGCTTGTTTTTTTTATTTAAAAATAATTTAAAAAAATAATATTTTTTTTATTTTTTTATTTTAAATTAATATTTGTTTTAGTATTTTTATATTATTTTTATATGTTAATTTTAAAAATAATTTTTTAAAATTTAAACATATTATTTTAATACATTTCAAGTGAAAAATATTTTTAAAAACACTCAATCACATTTTTAAATAGATCTTAATTGATATTGTTAATTAAAAAATATATTTATTACACATGCTTCAAATATTTTTTATGCAAAAAATAATTTTATGTAAAAAAAATGGTTTAGCAAAGAAAATTGATTTGATTTAAATAATATGAATATAAAAATAAAAAAAAAATAACAATAAAAAAATAAGGTATGGATTTGTAAAATCTATTGTCATAATTATAAAACTAAAATAATCTCATAAAAAAGATTTGAAGGGTGAAATTGAAATAAATCAATTTTTAAGGTTGATGATTATGGTTATGAATCCGGAGCTGACCCTATAGAAAACAAACCATAAAAAATATCAAAGCAAATCTAAAAAAATAATAAAATAAATAAAAATTATATTAAAAAATAAATAAAAACATACAGATTTAGGAGAACACCCTTAACCTAGTATAATCTATAAAACTCTATATATTTACTACTAAAAAAATGATATAAACATTATCCACATGCTACGTACACGTCAACAATTCTTTTTATATATAGACACATATATATACACATTGGATAACTTTAAATTTACAATAAAATCAATATAAAATAATAATTAAAGAAAAGCTCTTATGAAATTATTCTGTTGATTTTGTCTTTAAAAAACTAAAAGTAGTAACATTATTTGGAAAGACCAAAACACCCATGAGCAATAAACATTATTTTCTTTAATTTTAGGGTTAAATTAGTAATTTTATTATACAATAAAAAATAAAATGATTAACTTTATATAATTTATAAAAAACTATTATGTCATAGTAAAAAAATAATCTTAATTTTAATGCCTCATTCAAGGTTTTTTAATTAAAGACAATAATATCATTTCACTATTTTAATTCTAAATTCTAATGAGTGGTAAAATGTCTCTTTTTCTCTATTTCTTAGCTTTTTTTCTATCCAATTCAAGATTAATTTGATATAAAATTTAGGTTGTACACTAAACAAGTTAATTCAATACAATTAAAATTTTTAATAATTTATTCTTATTTTTAAAAAAAATCAAATTAATTTTTAAATATATTAATTTATAAATTAATCAAATCAACCTACATCAACATTTAACAAGAAAAGAAGAGTTTAGTTTAGCATTATTATGATGATGGGGAGGATATATATATATATATATATATTCCTATTTGTGGAAGAGTGTCACGCGCCAGCCAGCTGGTGTGGAGAATGTGAAGAGAACTACTGTAAGAATAGGACGCAAGAAAGATTTGATAGATTTGTTGTGCCATCTTCTTTCTTTAAAGGGTAACGACCACATGCAATGATCGGGTTGGCTGCTTTCGGTATGGCACCCTGCATCCTTTCTTGTAGATCCACGCTTAAATTCGAACATCTGGTCGGACGATATCCCTTGCCCAAGTAATTAAAAAGATACTCTTAAGTATGGTAGGTAAACTAGTAGTTAGAGCTTGGATCAATAAGTTTATTTTTTATGCAATTCTAAATTTGAGTCTCTTGGTTTTTAATATGATTAGTATGATGGTTATTAATAATTTATATTATTATTAATTTTAAAACTTATAAAATTAATCAACATATATACAAATTAATTCAAATATCTAAAACAAATTGCAAATTCAACAATATACATATTTATTAATTCTTTTAACTTAAGCTTAAAATGCTTCTGCAAATAATAAAAATAATTAAGGTATATATATTATTCTATCTAATATTAATAATTAATGGAGGTATTTTAGTTAACAAAATAAAATTTCCATATTCTTCACACTAGTAAATGTTCTTATTATTGAAGAGCATCACATTCTTTGATTTCTAAGGGATGTAACATCTCCAAAAAATCTACATTCCTTCCGCAAGCAAATGTAATTTCTGACATCTAATATCTTTTGATATGAAGAATTAATTTGAAATTCTTCCATAGAAAATCAACGCGCGCACGCGTTAATGCTATCCAAATGATATACTGCGAGCTCTAATTTTCTCTTGTCGACAAAAATGTGTCTCCATCATATATGGAGAAATAGTTGACAATTATTGAACAAGATCTTTCTTTATATTTATTTCTTGTATTTGCTTGGAAAATGTCCAAATGATATACTGCGAGCTCTAATTTCTCAAAAAATGATTTTTCTTTTCCATAAAAAACATAATATAATAATAAGAATAAGAATAAGAGGATCATTACCCATTCCCGCATGTGAACTTACATATATATATATATATATATAATGCACGCAAAGGTTATTCACCTAAATTCCAATCCAGTCACCACTTAAGCTGATCCTTAATGACTCAACCATTTTTTAGACTAATCACCAAATCTGCAGTAACCTCCGGTCACTTCCCGTCATCTTGCTGTCTCACCATCACCATCGTCGAGTACGCATCGTTAACCCACTGTACCCTGTTTAAACCATCCGATATAAACCCATAACACGTGTCGTTCTCATATTCTCCACGTCCGTACTAACCAATGACACCTTCTCTATGCACTTGTCGGCCATACTCTCCACTGTCAACTGCGTCCCCACTATTCTCTTTCCGGTAATAGGACCTGACATTTGTAAACCACCCATATCATCAAGCAACTACTGGTTATTGTTGACACCAAATAATAAATCCTCATCTTTCCTTATGATCGATGGAGAGGTGGGACTGAAAGAGAGAAACAACAGTAACCACCTGACAAAGATCGCTTTTCTGGTATTAGATCAGTAGTTTCCAATCAGAAATCAATTGCAACGTTGGCTTGAGACCATGATGTTCTGTTTCTGTTACTTGATTTGATTACATTGGTACCATCTTTTGCCTTCCTGCCTTCTGATACTGCTCCAAACTATTCTTCTTAAACCTAACGTACTTTCTCTTCTTTCATCCTTAATAAACCAATCCATTCTTGGTCTCTGACTTCCAGTTACTGGAAATTTAGTCTCCTTTGACCAGTTTTGAAGCAAATTGGCTGGAATCCGAGCATTATCTGATTGATTATTATCTTATCTTTAAGCCTGGAGGACCAAGCTTCCACTGGCCACCCATCTCCACCATATATATCTCCTCTTCCACCACCACTTCCACTTACGTCCACTCTCTCAGACAATCACTGTCGCGCTCTCTCTCTCTCTCTCTCTCTGACTGTAGTTGAGTAGGTAATCTCTCTGACGATAATCATACAAGCGCATCAGGGTGGCTAGGTCTACATGCACCACGTGTCTAGGGCTCCCACAACACAATGAAGATACCTGATTGGTTGATTTTCTTTCCACGGGACCCACCCAGAAAGTACCAACAACGGCGTTTCTCGATGTACCATGTTAAATCATCCAATAAGAGATGACGACGTGTCGATGTTCCCTTGAAAAAAGATGACACGTGGGCTTTGTTTTGAGATAGCATTAAGAAGCTGTTGTTGGAGTTGGAATTGGATTTGCTTAGGAGTAGGTTCCAGAAGTCGCACACGTGTTTCAATCTTATTAACTTGGAAGTTGAACAAGTAATTTAGATTTAAATAGTTGAACTTTATTTTTGTTCTCCTCCACTCTCTCGATTTAGCGCGTGCTAGCATTGCTCGAAAGAAAATTATCTCTGAAAATTAGCGAAGTTTTTTTCGAAAAAAATTTAACTCTATGAAAAAATATTTTAAAAAATAATACAATAAAAATATTTTCAATCCTCACTTAGTTTTTTAAAAATCGTAGCAGTTGAAAATCGTAGCTCTCACTTACAGTTTCACTTATCAATTTTTTTAAATTACAAAAATTAAAAATTATAATTTTTCATTGACTATGTTATTTTTTAAAAATGATTTCTACCAATGTTATTTTTTCAAAAATTTGTAGAAAATATTTCTTTTTGTAATTATTTTGTTTTTAAAATAACTCACAGAAAATAAGTGTTCATTAACTAAAAAAATATGATTTATTATTTGTAGATCTTAACATAATTTGTGTTTAAAATACAATACAGTGGAAAGCAGCTCGAAGCTGCCTTTTCTAGTCCGTGCAGAGTGAAAATTCATTTTGCATTGTTTACTTGAATAATAAAAAAATTTAATTTTTTTAATTATATTTTATTTGAAAAGTTAGTATTTAATATTATTCTATGATATTATATAAATTAAATGGAAATCGCATGATGACATAACACTTATCAAATTCAATAATAATATCAATTTTTTTCCTATTGATATTTTACCTGATTTTGTTACATACTAAAAAAACCATGAAAATTATAATTTTTATAGGATGAATTTCACATGTAATAAAATTATACAGAGTTTAATAAAATAATAAAAAATATTTTATATAAAATATTATTTATTTCATGATATAATAATAATAGTTGAATCTATAATATTTAAATTTAAAATCATCAATATATATATGTTAGTTATTTTATAACCTTAAGTTAAAAATTATTTTTAACAAAACATTTAGTTATTTTATAATCTTAAGTTAAAAATTATTTTTAACAAAACATATTAATTTTTTTATTTAATTTTAATTTTAATAAAATATATATAAATATTAAATTAATTTTAATTAAAAATAAATTTTATAAAATATTTTTTTTAAATTATAACTATAAAAATTATTACAATACCAATAACACCGTAAAAGAGAAAGCAAAGCAGTATAGTGATGGTAAGGGTCCACGCACTAGTTTAGAGGGTGGGCTAAGGTTTCTTTTATTTAAATTCGACATCTGTACTATCAGGACGCGTGGATGGTCTGATAACTAATCGGATCTTATGGAAGATATCGTGAAAGGGAAAAGTCGTTCTCGTTTTGATGGGTTTGGCTCCCCTGGTCCAGTAATTTGCGTCCAATATCCTCCAATCACCATTCAGATTCTGCGATGTCCACATCATGTCAAAAAGGTCACATCGATTTTTTTTCCCTTGTCTTTTTCTGTTGAAGCATGAGACTATAGTTCATTTTTCCCTTGCTGATTGGCTAAAGCTTTATAGCATTTTTATTATAACTCTACTGGTTTGACACTGTTAACAAACAATCCCGATCCAAATTAACTTATAATATTATTATTATTATTATTATTTTATATAAAAAAATTTAAAAAATATTTCAAAATATAAGTTGCTATACTTCATATGAAAAGTGTACACACACACATAAAAAACATAAAAAAATATTTCATGTAAATTATCCCATGAAAATAATTAAAAAATATTGTATAAGCATATAGATTATAAGAAAAAATATGAGATCACAAATTAATTTTATATTTTTTAATTTTATTAAAAAATATAAAAAAAATCAGGTTTTACTTAAGTTTAACCAAGTAAGTTGTAAAGCTTGAGTTTTGATCATTTAAAACTCCGTCAAGGTTTCGAGTCATTTATGTCCTGAATCAACTTATCAAATTGGATTAGATTTTATATTTATGTTATATAGGATTATTAATAGACATATATTCTTTTAACTTTACAATAATATAAAGAATTTACAATAATACAAAGAAAATGACAATTGTACATGTTAATCTTCATGCATTACAGGACAAATAGATATCAAAGGATTTTAATCATTATAAAGGTGAAAAAAAGGATGGGTTAAAAATACTCAACTTATTCGGTCATAAACAAGAATATAATATTTTTTTATTATTATTATTTAGATTTCTATACTTAAATCTATATTTAAAAATAATTAGTTATACTAATAATAAACATCTACACAACTTGTCTAGACCCAAAAACCACAGGCATGTTAACCCCATACTTGGGATGCTGGGCATGTGCACGGGGTTGCGTATGAGGTTAAGGGGCAACCACAACTCCATGTGTTTGGTAAATGTTAAATGTGGTGTTGTTTTGGTGGGACCCACCACAAAAGTGTGTTTGAAACAGTATTTTATCAAAAGCATGAAAATCATGCTTCTCAACCTTAGTTTCTCCAACAACCACAATTAAAAAACTCTCAACCTCAGTTTCTCCAACAACCACAATTAAAAAACTGAATCATACTTGACACGACGAAAAGATTGATGTCTTCTCCCAAGTGCAGGAGTGTCGAAGTAATAAATAACCCCCCTCTCTAATTCCTCAAAAATCCAGAGTAAAACTAACTTCCATCGACCACAAAATACACTTGTTGAGCCGTTGGAGGAAAACAAACTTCCTAGTTGCTCCTCGATTCTTAAAAAAAATTCTTGCAAAAATTCCATTAGTCCATCGATAACAAATTGAAGCCATTGGAGGAAAATCAAACCTCCAGCAAAGGCCTCTCTCATCCCTTGCTTATGCTGAATTGAGATTTTCTTGGTCTTATTTTTCCCTCGAGGGGATAAACTCTTCTTTTATCTGCTATTCTCGCTGTTCTCTTTTCTACTGTTGGAGGCAGGACTACTTTTTTCTTTTTCATTAGAGAAGGGGCATAGTTTCATAGCTAAAAGTTAAAGACGTGCCAACTTGTCCTACTCTTTCTTAAGCGTCGGTTCTGCTTTAACTAGATTCTGTTTTTTTTTCCACACATCCATTTTTAGGCCCCTCTTGAAATTCCCAGTTCCTTCCTGATTCGTAAAAAAAATCAGAGCATCAAAGAACCAATAGTGAAGCTTGATTGTTGTGGGTCAGATTCGGCTCATCCCTCTGCAAATAAATTTGTAGATTTGTTTACTCTGACTATCTTCTCTCCTCTATTATGAAAATGAATTTTCTTTACTTTTTTCTACTCGAGACACGCTTTCATGTTGTTGATCTTGTCGATTAGTAAACAAAGGTATTTTTCTCATTTTTGCTTTTTCTTTCATAGTGAGTAATGTTGACACTATGCTAAACTTATACAAAATTATTACATGTTCTAGGCTTATCTATGTTGTAGTTGCCGAAATAAGAATAATTTTAGTGCTGTACGAATTGGTTAATATTTAGCTTGTCTGATGTTAATAATTTTGGTTAGATTTATTGGATTAACATATGGTGTAACTATGTTCTGTCAGTAAGTTCACTATGCATGAATTTGAGCTATGATACCGAAGGATTGGAAATGATTTTCCTGTATGATTAAAGTTGATGTTTTCATTATGGAAGCCTATGGATCTGGGAAGGTAGAAAAGACTAGAGAGTGGAAAATGCAAGTGCTTGAAATGTATTGCCATTTTGCAAGTAGCTACTATGGAAAGATTTTACGAGCTACCTTTTGGAATTGAAGTGTTTGGTAGTGCAAAGAATATAGGATACACAAAGATTAGTGATGAGGTTTAGTGAATTCTTTTACCTGATGGTTCATGAATTCATTTATAGTAATGAACCATGCCTTACCTGCTGGTGAATAAATTTTGGCAAATTTGCTGAGCTTGTGCAAAATTGGTTTTAGGCCTCTTTTGTTTTGTAGTTGCCGAACTTAGAATAAATTTGGTGACAATAATTTGTTAATTTTTAGGTTGTCTGTTATGGTTCATGTGATCTTGCAAAGAACTATGTAATTCTAGCGTTTTATAATTTATAAAAAATGTGGGTCAACATAAAGTTTAATATGAAATTCATATTACATATAAACTAAGTTAGGATTACAAATTACAGCAAGTATTCAACTTGGTAATTTTCAGTTTTCCTTGACATCACTATGCTTCCTACAACTGAAGTTCTTATGCTATAATAACAAACGATGCAGTCTTGTGGACTTGTTTCAACTTCATAACTGTAATGGCTACTTGTTTATTCAATTGTTTCTAACAATTGTGTTTGTATTGTTGATGAATTTCTTTGCAGTTTTCTATTGGTGTATGAGGCACAATAACATTACTCCTGCAAACTCGTCTGGAAACAAAAAAGAGAAGCTGCTGTAAAATTAAGTAATGTGGCTGCTGTAAAATTAACTAATGTGTGTCTGTTTTTTACAATTACATAACTACTTGCCTAGAGAAGGTGCTAGAATATGTTTTTTTTTTACAATACTATGACCATATGTTGTTGTCATTTATGTTAAGTAACTACAACCATAATTGGGTTTGCATACTGAAATTAAAATATATCCTGTTAGTTGTTGGATTAACTATCCATATGCTTTTCTCGGTCATGTGCCCTTATGGTTGTGCAAAATTGTAAACTTTGGTGATTGTTCTTATTAACTATCTTTCAATTCTGATTTTGTTGTTGTCAATTGTTTGTGTTGTTGTAATTGTTTAGGGCTTGTATGCTATCAAATGCTCTGATCAGTGGTGCATGTTTATAAACATAGCATATAAAAAGGAAATATGTTGGGCAAGGAAATTTTAAGGCATTTACCTAGTGTCAAAGTTTATTTATATATATTGGATGCTCTAAGTTCATTTTCAGAAATGAAAGTCTTAACCTTTTTGTTTCATTTTTAATCGTCGTTGTTGATTGTTTGAATACTTGTATGTTGACTATATTTGCATTCAATTAGACATCACATTCACTGCTTCTTGAAACTCATTATTTTTGCTTCCAAATATAATGACCGAACTAGGAATGGAAGCTCCTAAAAATATGGATAAAGCAGCATGGACTAAAGAAATGTTGCATGTCTTTTGTGACCTTTGCATTAAGGCTATCAACATAGGAATGAGACTAAATACTCATTTCGACAAAACTGGTTGGAAATATTTGTTGGCATCATTTAAAGAACACACTGGGCATGCATTCACCAAGGCACAACTGTAGAACAAATAGGATGGCTGCAAAAAGGATTGGAGGATATGGAAGAAGCTCATTTCTAAAACTGGTGTGGGCTAGAGTACTGAATTAGGAACTATTTTTGCTAGTGATAAGTGGTGGAAATCCAAAATTAAGGTTATTTGGCACGATTCTTAATCTTCAATTTGTTTACATCTGAGTTTAGTTATTGATAAATTAGGTTAAGTTGTATGAAATAATTTTATTTCTTTTTTGTAGGAAATAAGAGGGGGCCAAAAAATTTAAACGTACCGGTATCAAACTGTCTTTGTGTATAAAGTACGACAGAATATTCACAAACATTGTTGCTACCGATGATTATGCATGGGCTCCATCGTCTGGAGTCTTACCTGATCATAATATCGGTGTTAATGGCAATCAAGATGCCAATGTTGAACAACTAGATTTGGAAGAAGAAAGTAGTGATTCTAAAGAGGACGAAATTCCAAATTTTGCCGATGATGTTTGCGACATGGGTAAGGGGGTTAATATGTCTACTAGTAGAAACAACCATAGTAGTGAGAAGAGGAAAGAAAGAGAAAGGTTTAAGGTTTAAGCTGGGAAAAAAAAAGAAATTCCATAATTGGGTTTCAACTACTATCACGGTAGGATCAAATGGTTGACAGTATGTCAAACAATAGTGATTCCACATCTATCAGTAAAGATTAGGAAGGGTGTAGTATTCGTGAGGTTATGATCGAGTTGCACTCAATTAAAGGAGTTCATATCGGTGATGATTTTTATGGGTTTGCTATTGAGTTTTTAGGTTTAAGAAGGAATAGAGAAATGTGGTAAACTATGGGTAATCTTGAAAACAAGATGAAATGGTTGCAGAGAATATACACATGGCATAAACGACCTTAGATCGAGAGGTATATATTAATCCTAAATGCATGCTTTCATATATTTATTGCTAATATTATTATTTAAATTGTTATTTAACTTATTTTTAAATTTATTGTCATTTATATAAATATACAGATTAATAAAGTTGTAGATTTCTCTAACTGATATGGAGTAATAAATTAATTTATGTTGGTTCGGGATCCTCCATAAATTAAACAATTCACATTGTACTGGGATGACGTTTGTAATTAATTAGTTTATGGAGCATTAATATTTATTATGTACCGACCATGCATTGTATTTTAATGTAGTTCGAAGCTATAATGTTACTTGAGAATTTTTAAGTCTTATTAGTTATGATATGAGATAATATGATTTAATATGAATTATATTAGTTTATGATGTGGACAATGCTTTAAGTTTTTAACTAATAAATATGTTGGTTGATGATGCAAATCAAATGTATTGTTTCATTTGAAAAAACAAATTTAACTCATAAATTTCAATGCACTATAATAGATTGTTTTATTATAATAACAAAGCAAAATTTAAATTACATTGGAAAAGGTCTTTGCAGTTTTCTTAACCAAATTTTACTTCTATTGATTTTTTGCATTCTTAAGCAAGTTTTCATTTATCATAATTAATTAAGTTTCAAATCAAGTCATTCACGTCCAAATTGATCATGTCTTATAGATTTTTTTGTAGAGTTGGAATTTCTAATAATAACCTAAAAATGGGTTTTCAAGGGATCATATTCATAAGTGAGAGAGAAGATAAAAAGCAAGAAATTTCGTTAAATCGAGCTTTTATCAAGGCAAAAGTCACATGCAACCTGTAAAATGAAATTGAAGTCACATGTAACCTGTAAAATGGAACTGTAAATAGGTGTATTGTAGTGATGAGCAACAATGTTTTACTTGATGAGATAAACAAAAGCAATGCAATGCACAGTAAAACAACATCAAAAGCAACATCAAATGAGTTGCTGCACTAAAACCATGAACAACAACAAAGTGTATTAACATGTGATTGTGTTAAGGACATTTCCACATGGGTTAACGCCTTTCAGAAGAAAAAATAGATGAGGAATATTCATTGTAAAGATGGAAATTAATAGAATAAAAAACAAGAAGAAGAATATAAAACCCGATAATGAACCACCTGAAACAGAGGAAACAAACCAAAACAGAGAAAAAAAAGAGGGAAACAGGGGCACAAAACAGGGGCACCATCACATAGCTCCCTCATCACCATAAAGATAATCGGCCGAACTAGACGAGTGGAAACAATATGAAGGACAACCCATAATTTGATATGTGAAACACACTGGTAAGGTCACGCAACCATTTGTATTCTATAAGAGAGCTGAACAACAACAATATACAAAGGTTAAAATAGGGGCACCATCGTATGACTTCCTCATCACCGCTATAATAACCACCATCTGTTACTGTCCTTAACATCAGCACCACCATAAATGGAGAGCAAAACATCCAAAACAGACATGCAAAGTAGCAGAGAGAGAGAGAAAGAAAAAGACCAGAAACAGTTGACAGATAAGAAGGACCAGTTTCTATAAGCCAACCAGCACCCTCGATTCACCATTAACCACCACCGTTCAGACCGCCAGGCAGACATTGGAGCAGCGCAGGGTAGCTTCGTCTTCCCTTTCCCCTTTCCCCTTTCCCCTTCTTTTTTTTCTTCTTCGGCCTCTACAAAAATTCCAGGCGGCCTCCACTGTTAATGTGAATAGTGGATGCCGAGTGGAATTTCTACAAAGGCAGACCGGGCCAAAACTATCCAAATGATATTTTTCAAAAGAAATCAAAACAATAGTGTTTTACAATATTTATTTGTTTATCTATTTAACAGTATACATATGGACAATACGAGTTGTAATGCAATATTCAATAAAGATTTGGATGATGATTATGAAAACATCATAGAGCGTGTTGTTGATCACATTAACTATCATGGTGATTATGATAATGGTGGCTCAGGCGGGGATACTGATGATGGGCCAAATGATGAAGACGACAACGATGACGATGACAATGATAATGATGAGGATGATGAATCATTTTAGAGGCAAGAATTTGATAGGAAAAAGTTAGTTGTGTGCACAGCTGGGGCCATACACATGTATTATATTAATTATATATATAAAGAACCGTGTATGGTTTCGTACAACACGGGCATGCGTTGGTTGACCGAAGTTTTACAAAGACATTGGAAACGATGTGTGAATATGTTTAGAATGGACACATCAACTTTGTTGAGCCTTTGCAGTGATTTAGAAACCAGGTATGGGTTAAAACCTTCGAGAAGGATGAGTGTGATTGAAAAAGTGGCTATATTTATGTATAGAATAGCACTTGGAGCATCAAATAGGGAGGTTCAAGAGCGATTTCAACATTTGGGTGAAACTGTTAGTAGATGCATCAAGGAAGTATTAGCAACAGTAGGTTTATTTATAGTAGATGTCATAAAACCAAAGGACCTGAATTTTACAAGCACTCCATGAGAAATCGCAATGAATCCAAGATATATGCCTTATTTTAAGGTCAGAAAAATATTTGTTAATGTTGGCAATGTGAAATTTGGATAATTTTTTGCATGTTAGTAATTAATGAGTTTATATTGTCAATGGTTTTCATGTAGGATTGTGTTGGTGTAATTGATGGAATACATGTGCGAGCTTGCATATCAACTGAAAATCAAATTCTATTTATCCGAAGAAAAGGTGTACCGACTCAAAACATTATGGCTGCTTGTAGTTTTGACATACAATTCACGTTTGTGTGGGCAAGATGGGAAGGCAGTGCCTACGATACACGTATTTTTCTTGAGGCTATTGACAATAGAAATATAAAATTTCCTAAACCACTAGAAGGTAGTTATACAATATAACTTGTTATATAATTATAAGTTGTTAAATTTGTGAAATTCGTATTAATCATTTGACAAACGTAAATGATGTTTGTAATTACATGTAAGTACTGGTTGATTCTGAATATCCTAATAAGTATAGGTATTTAGGTCCATATAAAGGTCAGAGATATCATTTCCAAGAATTTTGGCGTCGTGGACAACCAATAAATCGACAAAAGTTTTTAATCGTGCACATTCATCACTACGTAATGTGATAGAACGTTCTTTTGGATTATGGAAATAGAGGTGGAGGATTCTACAAAACATGCCTGCTTATCATTACAAAATGCAAGTTAAAATTGTAGTTGTATCAATGGTACTACATAATTACATTAAAAGGAGATCGCATGACGACGTTGTATTTGTGGAATTTGAACGCAATTCTAATTTTATTTCTGATGATATTTTACCCGATGTTGTTGCATGCGTAGGAAGCATACACAATAAAACAGTGAAACATAGTCAAGGTAGGATGAATTTCGTACGTGATGGAACTGCAGATAGTTTAATGGAACAGTGAAACATACACTAAATAAAGTATTTTTCTGCAGATAGTTTAATGGAACAGTGAAACATACACTAAATAAAGTATTTTTATTTGATGATGTAATGACAGTAGTTAAATTTATAATATTTTAATAAAAAATCATCAATATTAATATATGTATATTTTAGTTATTTTATACCTGAATTTGAAAAGCTTGATCGTTTGAGATTATGATAGCGATGGCGGATCACGGTATTTTTCGCTTCGAGATATATCTTTTGAGATTTTTTTTACAAAATTATATTTGATATCAACATAATAAAACAATCTAAAAAAAATTAAAGAAATTTTTTTAGGAAAAATAGAAAAAAATTCATTATTTATTGGAACGCGGTTTGCACCGTATTCCTAAACGGTTACCAAAGACACGAAATTGCTTTTTGTTTAACCTCAATTTCAACCACAGTTTTAGCCAAACACTCACTAAATGAAACTAATCTCAACTAAAAGTACTTTTTTTAAAACAATTTTTGTTAAACCACAACCACAACAACTATAACAATACCAAACACACTTTATAACTCTACTAGTTTGGCGCGGTTAACAAACAATCCTGATCTAAATTAACTTATAATAATAATAATAATAATTTAATATTTTATGTAAAAAAGTTAAAAAAATATTTCAAAATGTAAGTTACTATTCTTCATATGAAAAGTTTATATATATACACGTAAAAAACATAAAGAAATATTTCATGTAAATTATCCCATGTAAAATAATTAAAAAACATTTTATAAGTATATAGACTATAAGAAAAATATATAAGGTTACAAATTAATTTTATATTTTTTGAGTTTATTAAAAAAATATAAAAAAAATCGAGTCTTAACTACGTTTAACCAAGCCAGTTGTAAAGCTTGAGTTTTGATCATTTAAAACTCCGTCAAGGTCTTAGGTCACTCAAGTCATGAGTTAACCTGTCAAATTGGATTAGATTTTATATTTATATTATATAGGATTATTAATAGACATTTTTTTTTAATTTTACAGCAATACAAAGAAAATGACAATTGCATATATTAATCTTCATGCACTACAGGACAAATAAATATCAAAGGATTTTAGTCCTTATAATGGTGAAAAAGAAGGATGGGTTAAAAATATTCAACTTATTCGGTCATATACGAGGATATAAATTTTTTTTTATTATTTAGATTTTTATACTTGAATCTATATTTAAAAATAATTAGTTATACTAATGATAAATATCTACACAACATGACCCAAAAGCTATAGGCTTGTTAACCCCATACTTGGGATGCTGGGCATGTGCACGAGGTGCCCGCCTACGCATTACTAGATATGCAGCCCAGCACTCTATTAGGCTTGGACTTTGTACTTGAGCCCAATAGGCATAGGCCCACACAACATGTTTGGGCATATTTTTCACTTTTAACAAGTTTAGACAACTCGCTTAAAACTAACATCTTTTAAGATTTGTTTTACTAAACTAATATATTTTGGATCACACTCTCCTTACACCCCTAAGTATATAAAAATCCCTCTTGACCTACTATAACTCTATTTTATTAATATTTGTGTAAGGAATATTTATTCATTATTAAAATTATTAGGGTAAAATTATATTTCAACCCCTCATCTCTATAAAAAAACAAGACTCATGTATTATAAATACCTCATGAACCCTTAAAGTTCATGGTTTATAATTTTTTCATTCTTAATATTTTTAGCATACATATTTTTGGACTCTATCTTTCTAAAATATTATTTAACTTTCTCTCTCTACAAAGATATTTACATAAGCATCTAAGATGCTCTATATCTATAGTTATCAAACCTAGCTCAAGGGTTGACTTGACTAAGGGGCCGGGTCTCGGGTTTCATGGATCAACCTAGATTAACCCAAAAAAACTTAAAAAATATTTAAAGTTTTAATATGTTATATGAAAAAATTTAAAAAAAAATCATGTGAATATAAGTTATACATGTTGTAAATAATGAAGTTTAAAAGAATATTTTTAAAATTTTTTTATCTCACATTGAAAAAATACTATGTTATGCTTTTAAGTTGAAGCATTTAAACTAAATTTTTTTTTTATCTCACATTGAAAAAATACAATGTTATGCTTTTAAGTTGAAGCATTTAAACTAATTTTTTTTTTTATCTCACATTGAAAAAATACAATGTTATGCTTTTAAGTTGAAGCATTTAAACTAATTTTTTTTTTTATCTCACATTGAAAAAACATAACTTTTTTCTTATGAAGATAGAGAATATATATGAAATGACTTCAAATCCCACATTGAAAAACAAATTTTTCTTGAGAACATAGGAATATATATACTAATGGGTTTCAAATTCCATATTGAAAAAACATAACTTTTTTCTTATGAGCATAGAGTATATCTATGAAAGGGTTTCAAATCCCACATTGAAAAGATATTATATTATCCTTTTAAGTTGAAGTATTTAAATCAAAAAGGCTTTTATCTCACATTAAAAAAACATAACTTTTTTCTTATGAACATAGAGTATATATACGAAAGGGATTCAACTCCTATATTGAAAAAATAACTTTTTTCTTGGGAATATAGAGTATATATACTAAAAGGTTTTAAATCCAACATTGAAAAAACATAATTTTTTTCCTATGAACTAGAGTATATAAACAAAAAGGTTTTAAGGGTTTCAAATTCTATAGTGAAAAAAATAACTTTTTTCTTAGAAATATAGAGTATATATATCATTATGTTTCAAATCCCATATTGAAAAAATAAAATATTTTTTTAACATTTATATAGTGAACTTTAAAAAATGTTAATTGACACGACTAAAAGATTGATGTCTTCTCCCAAGTGCAGGAGTGTCGAAGTAATAAATAACCCGGCAAGACCGGGGTCGAACCACAAGGAGGTTAATTGTACAAATTATAAACAACAATAATAGCAATAACAACAATAACTATAATAATAATAATAATAATAATAATAATAATAATAATAAAGAAAGAGAAGAAGAAGAAGAAGATGATGACGATGAGAACTTAGAGATGAAATATTAATGTAAGGATTAAACAATAATAATAACAAATGTCAAGGTTAGAGGTTCCACTAATGGTATATCAAACAAGTATAGTATAAACTCTTATTATTGAATTGGAAACCACACACAAAGGAGGTTCCAATCAGATTATATATTGTTAACATGATTACATTAGTCATCTTATTCAATTAATGCTAATACTTGTAAATCTCGTCAAGCATTCATGATTATAACTTATGTTAACAACAAATCAAGTTCCTTTCATAGCTCAGGTGTCGGTTATACCATAATGCCTAAATAAACATGGGTGTGATGAACAGTTAGACCTAACATCTTTAGGTTCAACGAGGTGTTAAGCTAAAACAAATATGGTCTTGGTGAGATGTAAGACCTAACATTATTGGATTCAGCTATACACTGAGCAAAAGTACATGTAGATTTAACGAGATATCAAACCTAACATCCTTAAGTTCAGCTATGCGTTGGGCTTAAATAAATGTTGGTTTAGTGAGCTGTCAAATCTAATATCTTTGGGTTCACTAATACACGAAGCCAAAGTTGATATGGCTCTAACTAGTTGTTAGATACATCACTTATGGGC